CCATCACAGGGACACCTGGACAGGTCTCCAGTCCATCACAGGGACACACAAACGAGACAACCATTCTAGGGACAGTTTAGAGAATCAGCCTAACATGCATGTTTTTGGTCTGTGGGGAAGAAACCGGAGTAAACTCACGCAGCATGAAGAAAACATGCAAACTCCACCCAGAAAGGTCCCCGGTCGGGATTTGAGCTGGCGACCTTCTCGCTGAGAGGCGGTAGCTCTACCAACTGAGCCACCGTGCGTCCCGCATAATAACTTAAAAAACGAGTGAGATATCGACGTCCATTTTGGAGAGTAGCTGTTGTAGGAGTAATAAAAGCTTCTTTTGAAAACTGGGTTGCCACGTCAAAATCCAAGATGGCTGCCACCATAAATGTAAATCTTTTGAGTTGGATAACTTGAAAAATAAGCAATATGCCAACTTCTCCTTTGGTGAGTGGCTGCATCCAGGCGTAAGAAAGGTTCCCGTGTTGCCACGTCAAACTCCTGTCCAGAAAAACACTCATCACAAAAACTAATCCCTCTGCCGTGGGGGACATGGGTGCACCACTCGTTTTTCTGTTTTCATCTTATAAACACTTTGTCAGGTGCTATATAAATAAAGTTGGACTTCCTTCCTTTCAGGTTTACCAGGGCGTGAAGAAACATGGCTTCATCCAGCCCCGGATGCTCGCGGAGCAGGATGTGGTCATCACCACCTACGACGTTCTTCGCTCGGAGCTCAACTACGTGGACATTCCCCACAGCAACAGCAAAGATGGGCGACGCTTTCGCAACCAGAAGCGCTACATGGCTGTGCCCAGTCCTCTGGTGGCCGTGGAGTGGTGGCGCATCTGTCTGGACGAGGCTCAGATGGTTGAGTGTCCCACCGCCAAGGTCAGTCAGAGGACATCCATTTCCCATGATGCTGTCTGTTTAGTTTGTTCATATTTGTCTGTATTTACACCTGCTGGCTGAAGGCAGATTGATTTTGCACGTCTTTGTATGTGTATACTTTGGTTTTGTTACATTTGAATACATTTTCTGGAACCGCCTACCTGGTTAGAACAAGTAGTTCTTATGGAGAGCAATGCTAGGTCCTAGCGTGGTGGAACTTATTTTTGGGCTTTAGGGCTAAGGTGTGAATTGAGTTTAGGTTAGGGTTAGATTGCAGAATGGATGGAAGTCAGTACAACATCCTGATAAGGATAAGAGTATAAGCAGATGTGCACATGTGTGATTGCTCGTCTGTACTGTTGACAAAATATGTGAACCATTAAAAGGATTGCAGTGAAAGTATCAGAAAGTAATTATTGGATGTACATCTACAACTGATTACCGTTTGGAGTCGGTCCTTACTAAAACAAATATGGCTGCGCTCACTTGAGCGTGGTGTTTGATTCACATTCATTCACCAACACATCACACGAGAAGGTGCATCAGGTGTTCTTCATTTCAAGACTGGACCAAATGTCTCTTCTCACCTGTAGATGATCTTATTTTAAAACTCGGACGTACAAGGCACGTCATACTCAGTTCATGTCCTTTAATGGAGCTCTGTTTTTTTTTTGTCATCAGGCTGCAGAAATGGCTCTGCGTCTTGCATCTGTCAACCGCTGGTGTGTCAGCGGTACTCCTGTCCAAAGAGGCTTGGAAGGTATTATTTATTTGTCTAAAAATAGCTTTTCAGAACTTCCTAAAACTATAGACTGATAGAAATCTGAGCCTAAACGTTTCATTCTGAAGCGATGGTGTTTTATAGACTTGTATGGCCTTGTCCTTTTCCTTGGAGTTGACCCGTACTGGGTCAAACACTGGTGGGACCAGCTGCTTTACCGCCCGTATCGCCGTGGAAACACAGAAGCTCTCTACAACGTGATTGCTCAGATATTATGGAGGTCAGCTAAAAAAGACGTCATTGACCAGGTATCTGTTTGTGGTCAACCACAAATATAAAGTATGCAACTTTTAATGAAGATTTATACTGAAAACGAAGTGCTTTCATGTAAACTTTGAAGAAATTAAACTCGTTTTGTGTGTTTTCTTTCTCATTTTTCCCTCTTTAGATACAAATTCCCCCTCAGACAGAAGAGGTGCACTGGCTGCGTTTTTCTCCCGTCGAAGGCCACTTCTACCACCGCCAGCATGAGGTCTGCTCCCAGGACGCTTTGGTCAAACTCAGGAAAATCTCAGACTGGAGCCTGAAACTCGGCAGCCTTGACCGCCGTACCGTCAACACCATCCTTTACCCGCTGCTGAGGCTGCGCCAGGCCTGCTGCCACCCGCAGGCTGTGAGGGGGGAGTTCCTGCCTCTACAGAAAAGGTGCACAACAGTTAAGTCATTGCTGAAGGCAGCTGAGCCGTCACTGTTCATACTTTTGTTGTTCCTCGCCGCGGAGCGAGGAGGGGGAACTGGAAACACCCTCTGTCCATCTGTGTGTGTTCTGAGCACGATAACCTGAAAATCAAGTGAGGTGTCACCTTCCATTTTAATGTGGAGCAGGTTCTAGACATGAAATAAGGTTCCTTTTGCCACGTCAAAATCCAAGATGGCCGTCATATTGGTGTAAACCCTTTGAGCTGCATAACTTAAAAAGTAAGCAACAGACCAGCTTCCTTTTTTGTGTGAGGCTGCATCCAGGTGGAATAAAGTTGTTGTTTTTTTTGTTTTTTTATGGGGTTGCCATTTTAAAATTCAAGACGGCCACCATCATACGTGTGTGCGTGTGCACATGTGTGTGTGTGTGAGAGAACTGGCCACCCCTTTCATTTGAGGAAGCTATGCTTTCTCGTTTTTTATTGTTTAAAAGTACAGTTTTCTCAGATGATTGGGGTGGCCAAAGATAAATCTATGGTGTCCAAGGCCACCATTGGCCACCCCCTGGCTCTGCCACTGCACCTTGTGGATAAAATTGCTCCCACCGCTCATCAGGATCCATCATTTTCGCTGCCTCGGACAAGAAACAGAAACTTGCTCTGTTCTCCAAAGTTCAGCTCAACCCACTTGAATATCTTGAATATCACAAACATTTAGGTTGATTTACGTTCCCTGTTCAAGTCCAGTCCAGAAAAACACTCATATTGAAAACTACAAACATTCACTATTCAAATCCTTCAGTGACGATAGTGTGATATAACGTTTAATATTTGTAACTTCTGTATTCAGGTTCAGCTTCCTGGTTTAGTGATTCTTCACTCATCATTTTACATTTTGACACAAAATGTAAAGTTTTCTTGTTAACATTCCAGCTTTGTAGCTAACAGAGTATTAGCTGTAAAGGTAATAGACTGCAGTAGTTTTTGTCTTCATTACAGCCTTCAGTTGTGTTACTTTATTTCTTATTCTGTTTATTTAAAGCTCACTCATTCGGTGTAATTTGCACTTATGGTTCCTCTTCTTCCAGCACCATGACGATGGAGGAGCTTCTCAAGTCCCTGCAGAAGAAATGTCGAGTGGAGTGTGAAGAAGCTCACAGACAATTGGTGTGTGCGCTCAACGGCTTGGCGGGGATTCACATCATCAGAGGTAGGAACCCTGTCTTCTTTGCATGTGCTCCCTCCGCTCCTTATTTCCCACGAGTTCAAACAAAAGACCCAACATGATCTCACCAACACATTTTGTGCCGATGCGTTGTTGTTGGAGTGCATCTCGATGATCTGTGTTTTTACCGTACGGAGCTTATATTTACTGCCCCTCTCATTAACTCCACACGACATGAAGAGTCTGTCTTTTACTTCCTGCCTGCAGGTGAGTTTGTAGAGGCGGCAGAGATGTACAGAGAAGTGCTGCGTTCATCAGAGGAACACAAAGACCGGCTGAAAACTGATTCATTACAGGTAAACAAACTCGTTTACATTCACCTGTCATTTCTAAACGTAGCTGCTCTTAGCTCGAGAGAATAAAAGAACTTCAAGGCCTGACATTCCTTAAATGTTGAAAGTTTTAAACAAACATCATATTATAATGAGAAGAGACAGAATTATGTCTGCTTTGGTCACGCATTTTAAACTACGTTCAGCTCCCTGTGTTGGAGATGATGCTCCACAACTACCACCTTCAACGTTAGCTCAATTTATCAAGGTTCATGTTCAGTCATCCACGTAAAAAAATCTAACATTGTTCAGTCAGGTCATCTGGACAGTTTCTTTTTTTTTTTTGAGAGAGACGTTTCACCCTCCATCCGAAGGGCTTCTTCTGTCTGAGGAGTCACAAACAAACCGTTTTCCCACTACACTCCAACAGTGGACCAACTGGTTTGCTGGTGATAAGATGATTTCTGGGGGTTGTCCTCTCCCCCGTCGACTCCTCCCAATCTGCCACAGCCAAAGTGATTCAAGACATCAAAGTTCATGCTCAATCATCCAGGTTAAAAAAAAGAAACTCTCCGGATGACCTGACTGAACATTGTTGGGTTAGCTCAGTATCTGTAAATCTGCCCAAGTTAGCTCAAGTTTTGTGTTCGCTAACGCTGATTAAGTGGGGCAGCCATCTTGACCTGTTTCACTCCAACATGTAATAGGATGTAGACGTACACCCAGTTATTACTTTCTGGAAGTTATATTAAAGTTTCTACAATGGTTCATGTGATATTTTGCTAACAAACAAACAAAAATCTAGGGTAATGCGTGCACACATAGACATGAGAAAACTATCATCCTTTTGTCTTCAGCATCTTCCAAATGATTTTTACTATAACAGATTAAATACTGACATGTTTTTAAGATGTGGAAATTATTTCTATTTATATTTTTGCTTTTTGATAAAACAGCGGCTTCATGCCACCCATAACTTAATGGAACTTCTGAGCGCAAAGCATCCTGGGATTCCTCCAACACTGCGAGACGATCGACTCAGTGAAGAGGTAAACATCCTTCATGTCAGTGTGTCCGTGTGGAAATGTAATATTGTGTGTAATTTATTCGTAGACGTGCTGTTTTGTTGTTCTAATCCTCTGCATGCAGGCTGAGCAGCTGCGGCAGCACTACATGACCAAATACGACTCTGAGGTTGCTGACGCTCACCAGGCCCTGCAGCCGGTCCTGCAGAACATCAGGGAGCTGAAGAAAAACGTAAAACCTCCTTAACTTTCAGGGGAAAGTGTATCTGATAAAACATTATCGCTGTAAAGAAGTTAAGAATGTTTTATCACCTGCTGACAAAAGGCAGAAGCCTGTCTGTCTGTATGTCTGTGTTTCTGTCTGTCTGTCTGTGTTTCTGTCTGTCTGTGTTTCTGTCTGTCTGTCTGTCTGTTTGTGTCTCTGTTTGTGTCTCTGTCTTTCTGTCTGTCTGTTCGTCTGTCTTTGTCTGTTTGTGTTTCTGTCTGTCTGTCTGTCTCTCTCTCTGTCTGTCTGTCTCTCTCTGTCTGCCTGCCTGCCTGCCTGTCTGTCTGTCTGTCTGTCTGTCTGCCCACCCACAAATGTACACCTGTTTGTATACATGCTTTAAATGATTACATAAAAACAGTTCTCTTTTGGTTCTTCAGGTCAACTTTAAGTCTCCGTGGTGGCTGGAAGTTATCCAGACGGCGATCCGCTGCTCCACTGACGATGACCTGGTGTCCCGCGTCCAGAACGAGCTGACCTGCAGCTACAAGCAGCAGCCCAACAAGCTCTCCATGGCAGACAAGTAAGACACCTTGTCCTGACGGCTAACAACTATCAGTGCTGACGTCACCGTCTCTAAACCTCCGTACCCTGTCATGTATGAAGGTTCATCAGTCTCAAAAGTAGTCACACAAACGTACAAGAAGGTTTGTGTGGGTACAGTAAGATACACAAAATTAAACATATACTTTTCCTGAAGTCTTTCCACAAGGAAAAGAAGTTAACTTTGTGTACTGCACAGGTAAAACTTCAAAAGTGTTTTGGGTTATTCTTCTTGTTGAAAAACTGCTAGGGGAAAAAAATAATTATTATTATCTATATCTACAGTATATCTATATCTCTCTCTATATATATATCAGTATGTGACTACTTTTAAAACTAATTCATCATCTTTGTTATATGTCTTTTCTAATTCCTCATGAACACCAACATCCTCAAAGCATCTTTGGTGCTCACAAATAATCATCTCTTCTCTAAGTCTAGCTTCCATCACTCTGCCAGTTTTCATTGTGTGACTCATCAACTTAATTCATCCATTTGTACAAAGTTGCGTATCGTTTTAGCAACAACGTTTCATATGGGATGCCTTTCTTGACACACCCCTCTCCATTCATTCACCCAGGTGTGGGACCAGCACCAGAAATACACGGGCTTGTTCTCTCTGGTGGCTGGTTTAACTAAAACCACATTTCTTGCAGGTTCCGTGACGCCAGCGGTCTGCAGTATCTGCTCACCACACAAACACAAGAGCTGATGAAATCTCAAAAGACTGTGCGAGATGCGGTGAAGAGTCTCGAGGGTCCGGCGTCGAAGAAAGTCATAGAAGAAGCCACCGTTTGCCACCTCAGGCCCATGCGTCTGCCGCTCAACAAGTAAGCAGTCATCGTTTCAGAGGACCATCTCTGACAGAAGGTCTGATTCCAACACTGAAGGTCCAACATCTGAGCGCAGCTTTATTCATGATGGCAGTTCCGAAACAAGTTTATTTATTGTAACAGTGCAGCCTTTAATGTTTAATGAAAACAGCAAGTAACAGTTTATGAACATTTGTTCAAAATGGTTTCGCAATACTTGTGGTGTTCTGGTGTTCTCCAGGGTTCAGTATTGGGACCAAAGCTATTCTTGCTGCAAATAAATGGCATTTGTACAAATCAGTTTTAATGAAGTTTATTTTATTTGCATATAACACAAATATTTAATATATATTGACAGACGTATAGATGGATAGATGGGGTTTGAATAAAAAGACGTATCTTGTCAGTCATGCGGTACTTTAACGAACGTCTCTTCTCTAATTGCAGTTGTGTGTTTTGCAAAGCAGATGAACTTTTCACTGATTATGAGTCCAAACTGTTTGCTCACACGTAAGTAATACGTTTTTTTTACATGTTTCTGACCATCAATAACGTTTTTAGCTAGTTTGGACTGACGGGGGAACGTGTTTGGCAGGGTGAAGGGTCAGACGGCCATCTTTGAAGAAATGATTGAGGATGAAGAGGGTCTGGTGGACGACCGTCTCCCCACCACCAGCCGCGGCCTGTGGGCAGCCAGCGAGACGGAGCGGACTCTGAAAGCGATCCTGTCTTTTGCTAAAGTGAGGCGCATCGACCCGGAGCTGGTGGAGGAGGGAAACATTTTCATGGAGCTGTTTGAAAACTGGAAGAAGGAGTACAAGGTGCAAACATCTGGATTACATTTATTTTACACGAACTCTTAAGGTGGAAAATTTACACAACAAATATATTCTTTGTTTACTTGTTTTGTTGCTCTGAGGGGTATGTTTGTACGTTGCATATGTTTATAAGCATTTCTCAATTTTTATTATTTATTATGATAGAAATACACAGTACAGCACAGTACTTTTCATACTTGCTACGTATTCTTACCTGAACATTACCAGGTACCTACGGGGTACTTGACAAAATACCTAGAGGTACTGAGTTGTATTATGAAGTAATTTGTTACATGTACTTACCAGGTACCTGGCACCTTCTGGGTACTTAAACTGGTTCTTACACAGTGCTTATGGGAACTGGTCTGTACTGTAAATGTACTCGTTACCCTGTACCTATAGGGTATGTATGTGATACTGACCAGCTATCTAGGAAGGTACTTACAGGCTTTCTGTGAAGGACTGACTGTTTTATGAAGTAACGTGACCTTGTACTTACAGGGTACATTCCTAGTATCTAATGGTATCTTTCAGAGGTACTTAAATATAAATATGAGTACTGGGCTGTATTAAAAGTCACTTCTTACCCTGCACATATCTGATACTTAACTGTACTTACCAAATACTTAGATGTTTTTTATTTTTAGTCTGGAAAGTTCCCTATTATATGAAGGGTCAAAACTTAGAAATTATACTGCAGCCTGCCACTAGGGGGCACTCCTACTGGTTGACAGTCCTGTTTCAAGTTATGTTGATGTCTTATATGGTACCTACAGGCTACAAACCAGTATTTACTTACTCCTTAAGTCTCTAGTACTTACTGGTAAGTACTGGATACTCACCTTGTCAGTACCAAGCACATGTACCGTATGTAACAATCTACATACCTGGTAAGTTCCAGGTACCTACCCAGTAAGTACTGGGCTGTATTATGCATTGCTTCCCATTTTCCTGTCTGGAATATGGAATTTAAGCTGGGATTATCTCCTTGCAGGTGCTGCATGAATACTGGATGGTGCTGCGTAACCACGTGTCGGCCATCGATGAGTTGGGCATGGCCACCGAGAGGCTGCGAGTTCGTCTGCCTGACGAGCCAAAGCCCAAACTGCTGCATATCATAGAGCCACATGAAGTGGGTTTTAAAAAATTACATATTTTCATTGTTAATGAGATGTTTACACTCTTTTGGTTAAATCTATTTGGTGTAACCCATTAAAGCATGGACTCTGTGGGTCATATTTAACCCTTTAATATCAATATGATAGAGCCAGAGTCTGCCATAGGTCACCTTGAGAGAGTAGAGATTTCATTTGTCGCTGGTCTAACATTTGGTGCTTTGGTTCTTTTGGTTTAAAGGTTTCCACGAATGTAACATTTTGCTTTAATTGATTTTAATGCATTCTGTCTTTGGGTTGTGTTGCTCTCAGGTGGAGCAGAACAGAGTCAAACTCCTGAACGATCAGGCTGTGGCCAAGTCGCAACTGCAGAAAAAACTCGGACAGTTTCTGTATTTAACTAATCTGGAGAAGGTGATTTTAAATAAGGCAGGAACTATAAACCACATCATGTTTAGATGTTAAACTGTTCTGCACAGTCCAGTTAAACCATAGTTGTGTTTAGTCCCAGAACAAGTCTACTGGAGGACTGAACCCGGAGCCATGTCCCATCTGTGCCAGACCCCTGGGGCAGGAGGTGAGTGTTGGTTGTAAATGTCACATCTCCGGTGTTTTATTTTCTTGCTGCAGTTTTAGATTTCAGACTGCTCATAACGGCTTTGACTATTTTAGAAAAACTGAAAGATACGAGAGTTTAAAAATAGCACAGAGTATTTTTCTTTAGGAAAAGTTTGTATTTTTGTAAAATTACTACCGTACTTTTTGGACTGTTGAGCGCACTCGACTATAAGCTGCGCACACTAAATATTTTTTGTTTTTAATTGTACATGTATACGCCGCTGGTGTCCATGTTGTAATGAAATATTTACACAGAAAGATTTTTTAAACTTTTAATTAATTGCGTACAGTACATGTTTTTCTCTGAACAATGCCTGTAACACAGCTGATTAATATATATATATATATATATATATTAGCTACCAAGAAAAGTCACTGATCTCTGTGTTCATCTTCCTCCTGTTCCTCCTCGGACTGATGAAGTCTTTTGGATAAAAGACGAAACGTTTCAACAAACAGAAACCGTCAGAGGGCCTGACTGAACCTTGTTGTATTTTTATAACTGGATTATTGAGCAGCATCAGGATGTCTACACTGTTCTGTATATATTACCTTCAACCGTGAAAACAAAAGTTTGTTTTAGAAATATGTTTTTTTACTTTTATGTCTGTGAATGTTTCTGTTCAGAGGCCTGAGATGACTTGTGTTGTGACTTGGTGCAATAGAAATAAACTGTATTGAATAGTTAGATAGAAACCTGCATATTTTAGGTAATATAATAGTTGTTGTCCCCTCGTCTCCAGTGGGCAGTGCTGACTTGTGGCCACTGCTTCTGTAACGAGTGCATCGCCATCATTTTGGAGCAGTACAGCGTGGGCTGCAGACGGAGAGCCATTAAATGTGCCATTTGTCGGCAGACGACATCGCACACAGAAATCTCCTACGTGTTCACCACTCAGTCGTCCAGCCAGGACCAGGACATACCAGTCAAGGTCAGCTTTGGCTTCACACAGCCTCTCACGAGAGGATGATTTCAGGACTTTTAAGATGATTTAACGCATGTTGATCACCTCTGTTTGTTTCAGGGCAGCCACTCTACTAAAGTGGAAGCCGTCGTCAGAACACTCAAGAGGATTCAAACGACCGACCGCGGTGCCAAGTGTCTCGTCTTTTCCACGGTAAATTTAAACTTCTCTGCCGTGCAACAGAGTTAATTATCACTGCGACACATTGACGGTCAAACCAAGCCTCTGAAACAAAGTAAACTAATAGATTTGTTTTGTTTATATAATCATTAGCTGTTATCGCCCAAACCTCGTAGGGTCTTCCTTTGGCACAAGTTTGTGTCTGACCTAATTTCCTTTCCTTTTGGAACAGTGGCAGAGCGTTCTGGACATCATCGCCAAGGCCCTGCTCGACAATAACATGGAGTTTTCACAAATCAACGGAATTCACAAGTTTCAGGTTTGACTTTTCGTGCTCTATTTTAAAGAGACCTCCAGCTTCTTGCACATGTTGCCCTTAATTTGCTGCTATTTTCCTAATCTGCTAAACAAGTTGTACATATTTAATGTTTCCATCACGGAGCGAAACGAAGGCGTTGGAAATACCCTATGTTTATCCGTCCATTCGTTCGTCCGACTGTCCCTGAAGGTTGAGAGCTGGATGAAGACAAATAAGAGCAGCGGGCGAACTTCTTCTTTGGTGTGTGGCTGCGTTTAGGCATCAGGAAGGTTCCTCAAAAATTGGGTTGCCACATCAAAATCCAAGATGGCCACCACCATATATACTATATGTGTATATCTTCTTCTTCACAGCGAGTCATCCTCGTCCATCTCACTCTCCTCACTCTGTCCTCACTCCACCTACCTCCATGTCCTCTCTAACTGCATCCATATGTCTCCTCTTTGTCTTTTTCCTGGCAACTACATTTCTAACATCCTTCTACCAATATACCCACTGTCCCTCTGGACGTTTCCAAACCACTGTCCCTCCTCTGGACATGTCCAAACATAGAAAAAATTAAAATCCTAAATCTAAAACCTATTTTTTCTCTTCTTCTGTTCAGTCTTCATCATTCCTGCATCCTCTCTGTCCATGGACCACGTGCTCCAGTTCAGATTGAAAGAGCTGAACTTTAGACGTTGTGCAAAATTAACCTTTAAGCTGGACAAGAGCAACCTGCCTACGTCGCTGACCCAGAATGCATTGCAGCTAAACAACACAGAGGCGTCTGTGACATTAATTGTGAAAAACAATTTAAAAACTAAACAACCTGTTTGTTTTTAGCTGAATCAAATGTCTACCAATTAAGGTCTATTGCTCTGGATCGTTTTTTTAATGTTCCTGTATGAATTTAGCCGTGATATGAATGTGTGTATAACTGATTATTTATTTATTTATTTACTTTTTAGGAGAATCTTAGTTGTTTCAAGTATGAAGAGAAGATCAACATCCTTCTCCTTCCTCTCCACACGGGCTCTAACGGGCTGAACATCATCGAAGCCACGCACGTGTTGCTGGTAGAACCGATCCTCAACCCGGCTCATGAGCTCCAGGCGATAGGCCGGGTCCATCGGATCGGACAAACCAAGTAAGTGTCAGGAAGCCGCTCGATCCAGCGTGCAAGGTGCAGCCACTATTACAAAACAGTAGAAACTCCTCAATTTATATGTTATAAATAAAAAGTACAGGGGATTAAAACAAGCTTTTAGAGCGAGTGACTCTTTCAGAAGTAGAGATGGGCAGAGGTTCATTCGTTTGCAAAAGACTGCACCTGCGACTAGTGGAGCAAATTCAAAACGACATGTCTCATCTGAAAAATGGGAGGACTTTTAATATCCTACAATCTACAGTTCATATTAAAATATTTAAAAATGGAAAAACTCTGAGCTTGAAGGACGAGGCTGGAAGTCAATATTGGATGCCAGAAGTCCTCGTTCCCTCAGGACTGTCCACATATGAGGACAGTAGGTTTACTGCAGCATTTTATATTTTTCTGTGCAAATGGGAGTCGGAAGGTCCCAATTACTCTTAAAACTTCAGCTTTCTATGATCAGCAGATCTCTAAAACATCACTGTCCTCATGTGAGGACGCAGGGTCTCAGGATGTTGAAGAAAGACGTTTTAGCGTTAGACGCAACGTTACCTGCAGTTTGACCTGAGCTTCCTGTGTCCACCAGGCCAACGTTTGTCCACAGGTTCCTCATCAAGTCCACAATCGAGGAGAGAATGCAAGCGATGCTGAAGACGGCCGAAAAGAGGTTTGTTTGGAGTAAACTCCATTTTTGACTCTTTTCTGTAACATCGAACGGCTACAAGACGCGAGAACCTGAATGCTTCGTTGTTTTTGCTTCCAGCCACAGCAGCAGAACGATGAAGCACTCGGAGGCAGCCGTGCTGACCGTCGCAGACCTGGCCGATCTGTTCACGGACGACGCCGAACCTCTGGAGTGACCTGCCCCTACAGCGACGTCGGCTGAAGACTTGTGCACGGTGGTGATGGAAGCACTCTGATTTTGCACATTCCGTTTTTTTTAAGCATTTCCAGAAGAATATTTTTAGCTAATCACTGACAACATTTAACGTGTTTTTGGTCCAAGTGGAAGCTTTTGCTGCAGATGTCGTCTCTCGTTATGGATATTCTGTCAGTCACTTTCAGCAACGTTTAATCTTCACGTTACACTGTACGGTGTTAATCTGAACTGACATTGTGCATTCATGTACAACTTTAATGGACAATGGAATTAAAATACTGCGATCCAGGGCTATTCAACTGACGGCCCGGGGGCCAAATCAGGCCCACGGGTGAACTCAGTTGGGCCCACCAGTGGGTTCATTTTTAAATAAAACTAAATTTTAAACCACAAAACAAACTTTAATAATGACAATAACTGCTGGATGTCCGGCCCCTGAGCTCTTGGCTTCCAGTAACTGTGGCCCCCTGAGCAGTTTAGTTGAACAGCCCTGTTGTAATCTCTTTATTCTCACAACCTTCAGGAAATAAAAGTCTGAGTGGCAGGATGTCACTTTATATTGACCAGCTCTCTGTTTGTATTATTGACAAATTTACACAAATAATTAGTCTTTTATGCATTCTTTTGTCTTCTGATGCTTTTATTAAGACTTTTTATGTCTCTGTTTTCTTTTTAGTGTATATAAATTATACA